CATTCAATCATGGTCAGACCTAGCTAGTGCCTTTGTGAAGCAATACAACTATAATCTTGATTTGGCTCCAAGTCGCTTGAATTTGCTAGATTTATCTCAAAAAGATAATGAATCCTTCAGAAGGTATGCTCAGAGATGGAGAGAAATAGCTGCTTGCGTTCAACCACCACTCTTGGACAAGGAATTGGTTGAATGGTTCGTGGATACTTTGCAAGACCTGTATCGAGAGAAGCTGTTTAGCATTGTGACATCAAACTTCTCAGACTTGGTAATAGCTGGAGAGTGCATCGAGAGCGGTCTCAAGAGAAAAAAAATTCAAGGCATCTCGAACATCCCAGATAGTGAGAGTGAATCAATTATCAGTTCTTGAGAAGAATTGGAAGAGGAAAGTAATTCTGTCCAAGAATCCCTGATATCTCGATCTCAGTGCTCATGCGTCTCAACTATTTGGAGTCAACAATCTTTTGGGTCTCCATGTCAAACACCATTCTTTCCACAAAGACAATATTTTCCTCCAAATCGAAGACTTCCTCAGAATCAATAGTCATATCGCCATCAGTCGCATCAGCATGCCAAATAAAGGTCAAGGAAGCCAGAGCGACATTTCACTCCGTTGCCAATGGCATATAGTCATATTTTTCCATATTTAATTAAAAGTGGGTTGATAGTACCGAAGGATATAGATCCAGTGATCCCTCCATACCCACTAGGCTTTGATGCTAACTCCCAACGTGGCTACCATGTTAGGGCACAGGGGCATTCAATCAAAGACTGTAAGGTGCTCAGGAGCAAGGTTCATACTCTGCTTGACTCTGAGACGTTCTCATTCACGCCTCAAGGCATTCAAATCAAAAATCCTTCATTTGGCTAAGAGGATTCATCAGTCCATATTATGGAAGAAATCACCGAGATTGGATGTGAAGATGCTTCTCAGACTGATCTCGACAACCAATTCTGAAGATGGCTATCTCAGTTGGCAAATTAAGAAAGGAAATTTCAGTTCCCCAAAGTTGGCAATTTTTGGCTGTTGCAGCATTTGTTGTTGTATTTTATTTGCATTTTGAATTTAAATTTTGCTTCTAAGCTGTTTTTTTTCATCGAATTAGCAAGATTAATGAAATTTTTATGCATCTTTTGATTAAGTCAATTCGTTTCACTTTTTCTCTTTCCATTCATTAAAAAATAAAAAAATAAAAATGAAAAAAACATAAAAATCTTTTCCATCCACTTATTTGTATTGAACTGTTGTTTAAGCAAAGATGAGGGAGGATGACGAAAATATTATATCCATAATTGTTGTTGGTATACTTTCAATTAAACTTTGTCAATGATGTAAGACATTGTTTCAATTCCCAAATACCTGAGAGATAAGGAGTTAATCCCTTGTTAACCCTTTTGAGTCTAGAAGTAGAAGTTTCCTTTGGATCTCTGATCAGTGCATTTAGGTGAACTTTCCTCTATGTTTAGACTTAGGCATTTCTATAGTTTAGTTTGTTTAATTTCCTATTTTATGATGTTTTTAAAATTTAATTTATTTTCAGCTTTATTTGATTTTCGTTTATTATTTTTAGCATTAGCAGTTTTTAATAAAAAAAATTCATAACTGGAGCTACAAGAATCGGATCGAGGCGTTCTACTAGTCGTTGGAAATCTAAGGAAAAGATCTACAACTTTCATGTTGTACGAAGAAGCTGATTCGGATTTCTTGAGTCTCGAATAATTCGTTGAAGTTTATGACTTGTAATAATGTAGTTGTTTTCCTCTTTTGGGCCTAGTTTAGGTTTCCGACCCAGTTGAGTGTGTAATGCAAACCCTTTTTTGTTTATATGGTTGTTGTCATGCTGCAATAACAGCGGCCCTAGTTTTATTCTTAAAATTATTTGTTTTTTACAATTGTAATGGAGAACTAACTTCCTTAGGTTAATCTGTTGTAATCGGTTTCCGCCGACACTTTGAGGTTCCTTTAATTTTGCCACGAACATTCCCCCATCAGCATCGTGTCATCTGCAGATTGAAGAATGTTGTATTCAATGTTACCCCCAAACTTCATTCCCTTGAAAATTCCAATTTCCCTCGCCTTAGATACTGAACCCGCCAATCCTTCTCCAGCAATGGAGAAGAGAAATGGAGATAACGGGTCTCCTTGTCTAACGCCCTTCATGCCTTTAAAATCATTGGTTGGGTTTCCATTAACTAACACTGAGAAAGGCGTTTCAAACAGACAAGCTTCCATCCAAAAAAATTCACCTCAAACCAAAACTAAGCCTTCTGAGCATATATCTAAGAAAACTCCAAGACACGCAATCGTATGCTTTCTCAAAATCCATTTTTAAGATCAGATATTCCTTCTTGTTTCTTGTTGTGTAGTTAATCAATTCATTAATAACCACAACTTCGTATAGAATTTTTTGACATGGAATGAAAGTTGTTGGACTCTGAGATATAACCTTACTCGATAACCTTTTCAATCTTCCAACAAGAATTTTGGACAGGATCTTATACACGCTTGAAATTAAGAAAATAGGTTGATATTCCCCCAAGTTTTGAGGAATCTCCACCTTAGGAATGAGAGATATGAATGATGCAGATAACGCCTTCAGATGTTTATCGGATTCATGAAATTCATTCAGGAAGTTCATAAGATCCAGTTTCAAGAAATCACACTCCCAAATAGACATTTCTTCTACTATAAATTTCTCCTATAGCTAAAAATTATCTTCCGCTGATAAGCAATTAACATCAACACCAGATAGAATTGGTCGACTATGAACATCATCCTTGTAGCTCCTTTCAAAAAACATTTTTATCCTTTACCACATGTACACCCTACACACTACCTTCCTCTGTATTAACATGAAAAGTATTATTCTTTCTATTTCTCTCCCTCATCACGTTATAGAAAAATCTCGAGTTCATATCACCCTCTTTGATCCATTTCACTCTTGAGTTTTGCCTAAGTAAACTCTTTATTCTTTGTAAAAAGTTCCAAAATGAATTGCACAATGATTTTCTCTTATCCACCTCCACCATTAAATGTGTCCCCTCCCTTAGACCCCTTGTATTCTATGAAATTTAATTTTGAAACCGCAATCTCTAACTGAAGATCCACCCACCCCTAAACTTCTTTGTTCCACCATCTAAGTCTCGCCTTCACATTTTTTAACTTCTCTTTAATTATGTAAGCCATTTTCCCTTCAACTTGATAGTACTCCTTCTGAATAAACTCCCTGAAATATTTATGTTCAAACCAACCACAAGTCACTCTGAACGGCTTGGGACCCCAGTCGATAACGCTGCATTTCAGCCAAACTGGACAATGATTTGATACATCACGCAACCCCATTTCCAACCAAACAATTCTCCAATAGTCAATAAAACCAATCGAAACAAGAATTTGGTCTAATCTACTAAAAGCGTTGCCATCAGAATTTTCTAGGTGAATTTGTTACCAATGACTGGTAATTTCTAAACCAAATATACCAATAAAATCAGAAAAATCTCCCATTTCCCTCATGTACTGCTACTAAAATTATTGCTTCTCTCTCCAGAATTTTTCACTAAGTTTAAGTCTCCTCCAATACACCACTCTCCAATGCCCAACTTAGTTTTCTTATCAATCAAATCTTCCCACAACTTTTGATTATTAGCTAACAGACAAGAAGAATAAACATTGATAAAAAAAACACACCTTACTAGACCAAGTCGCACACATCCCTACGAAACTCTCCCCTTCAAAACTTAATAGAGGAGAGATAATGTCAGGTCTCCAAAGAATCAACCCCCCCCCCCCCCCCCCCCGCAGATTGGCCTATAGAATCTTTTGTTGTCTACTCGACATTGCTACTCCCCTAAATGCTTTGTGACATCTCACAATTCATCTTCTTTAATTTAGTTTCTTGAATCATGTAAAGATCAACTTTCCCTTTTCTTAAAATTTGTTGAATCCTTCTTCTCTTTAAAGGAGTTCCACACCCTCTCACATGTAAAGATACAATAATCATTCCATTTTCTTGATTTTTGCTACCCTCTTTTTCTTCCTTTCTCTATCTCTCAGCTTCATGGAACGAATGATCCCTTCGTAAACACAATTATTCTCTAAACCCGGTATACCATAGCTAAATTAACATCAACATAAGATTTTTGTCTGGATCAAACACATAGTAAAAATGACGAATTTTAAATACGTGTGATCATACTTCATAGGACAATGTGCTTTAATAATCTTCATAATTTAACAGTTTACACTAAAAAATTAAATTTATAGCATTATATATATATATATATATATATATATATATATATATATATATATATATATATATATGTATATATATATATATATATATATATATATATATATATATATATATATATATATATATATATATATATATATATATATATATATATATATATATATATATATATATAACCGATTACAAATAAAATAAAAAAGAATATTTCGTGTTATGGTATGATTCCCGCTTAAATGAACAAAACTATATGAATTTTTTTAATTCTTAAATAAATCTTCATCATCCAAATTCCAAGAATATACCAAAAGTAATAAAAAAAACAAATTACAGTATCAAATTAAAATAGATAATTAAATGAACCATCAAGTTGGACAATACACATGACACATCCTTGGACAATAGATTAACTATATGATAAAATAATAAATGTTTTCATAAATTAAGCTAGACATAACTACTATGCAAAAGTTCATTTACTCGTCAAAGTTCAATAACTTTATATTATTACATTTTTTTTAAGAGAACAAAACACATCCTAGGATAATTGGATTCTCTCTTTTTTTTTTTTTTTACCAACATTAACAGCAACTATAATCCACTTTTTTGTCTTAATCTCAACTTCACATCCACTACTACTATTATATTACAACACAAATTCATCTCCATAACCTCAACCATCATTCATTTTTCATTCACATTAACCTCAAAAAAATTAATTTAGAAGCAGATTAATTAAAATCAAGCATGGCTGGAGAAGGTGGAGGAAGAAGCTTAACTGAAACACCTACTTGGGCTGTTGCAGTTGTTTGCTTTGTTATACTTTTAATATCTATCATCATTGAACACATCTTCCACTTCATCGGAAATGTATACATACACGCATATATCTACACATTCAAATACAATTTAATTCATATATATAATAATATCATTATACTAACGCTAATTTTTATCTACAGTGGTTGAAGAAGAAACACAAAAGCGCTTTACATGAGTCACTTGAAAAAATCAAATCAGGTGCAAATTTAAAATTCTATAAAAAAATTTAAGAAATCGAGTTAGTTTTGATATTATATAGTATTGAACATTTTGTCGTGTTAATTGCAGAGTTAATGTTACTAGGGTTCATATCATTGCTACTAACGGTAGGACAAGGTTTAATATCGGAGATATGTATATCCGAAAAGGTTGCGGCCACATGGCATCCTTGTAGCAACAATGCACCTAAAATGGGAGATTCCGATGACGAATCCGGTGGCCACCGGAGATTACTAGCGGATCCGCGAAGGATATTGGCCGGTGGAGGAATTGATAAATGTGCAGAAAATGGAAAAGTAGCATTTGTTTCGGCTGACGGAATTCATCAGCTTCATATATTCATCTTTGTTTTGGCTGTTTTTCATGTTCTTTATTGCATACTTACTCTGGCTCTTGGCAGAGCAAAGGTAAAGATTAAGCACACATTAATTATAATCACATTAATTAAACTATAGTTTATTTTATCTCTTTGGTAATATAATTTGATTGATTATAACACATTAGATGAGAAGATGGAAAAGATGGGAAGAGGAAACCAAGACACTTGAGTACCAATTTTCACATGGTTAGTTAGTTATAAAATTATAGTATATAGTTTTATTCTATAAGTGATGAATTAAAACTATATTATATAGTACTAATTAATTAATAGCATATGTTAATTGGTGCATTTTTTGTGAATGATAGATCCTGAGAGGTTTAGATTTGCTAATGAGACTTCATTTGGAAGAAGACACTTGAGTTTTTGGACTAAAAATCCTGTACTCATTTGGATTGTAAGTTAAATTCAAACTCATTTTTTAGCTTTTTCAGCTTATGTCTTTAATTTTGCTTAACATTATTGCATTTTTCAGGTATGTTTCTTCAGGCAATTTGTAAGGTCAGTTCCTGAAGTGGATTACTTAACCTTAAGACATGGATTTATAATGGTAATATATTACTCTCACTTTACTTAATAATTATACTTATTTGTTATGAAATTCAACATTATATTATATTATATGATAATTTTAGGCACATTTGGCACCTTCAAGTCACCAAAAATTTGACTTTAGACAGTATATCAAAAGATGTTTGGAAGAAGATTTTAAAGTTGTAGTAGAAATCAGGTTAATTTTCTTTTAGCCCTTTTATGATTTTTCATTTGGAAGTTTGATAAATTATTATATGAAGTATAATTGAATACTCTCTTTTAATTTTTCAGTCCTTCACTTTGGTTTATTGCAGTGTTCTTCCTCCTATTCCATACTCATGGTAAACAAATATAACATTTTATAATAACTCATAATTAAGATTAAATTATTTCACTAAATATTATTATGTTTGAACAGGGTGGTACTCTTATTTATGGCTACCATTTGTTCCTTTAATTGTAAGTACATATAAAAATACAATAACTTATATAATTAATTAATTAAATAATTAAATAATTATCATATCAATTAAGTTATGTTCTAATTAAATTGCAGATTGTTCTATTGGTTGGAACAAAGTTGCAAGTGATCATAACTCAAATGGGTCTAAGAATTCAAAAACAAGGAAGGGTGGTAAAGGGTGAGCCAGTGGTGCAACCTGGGGATGATCTCTTTTGGTTTAACAAACCTAGACTTATTCTTTACCTTATTAATTTTGTACTCTTTCAGGTATATTATATTTATTTGTGTTTATATTAATCACATAATTTTAATTAAAAAAAATTAGTGACTAATCCAAATATCTTATGTGTGTTTTTTTTCTTCATATTTATTGAAACAGAATGCCTTTCAGCTTGCTTTCTTTTCATGGACTGCAGTAAGTAATCATCCATATTTGATTTTATGATATACATTTATAATGAAATCCAAATTTTAAATTTGTTTTGTAATATTGTTCCAGTTTCAATTTGGATTGAAATCGTGTTACAATTCTCGATCAGAGGATGTGGTCATTAGAATTTTCATGGGGTAAGTCTCATACTCGTTTTAATTGTTTTCATATTTAAATTCACACTCATGCATTTTACATTTTAATGTCTCTGCACAACTATTAACTGAAGTAAACTGATTTAATATTTTGGCAGGATATTCGTCCAAATTCTTTGCAGCTATGTGACTCTTCCTCTCTATGCTCTCGTCACACAAGTAATTAATTATTTAACTTCATGTGTTAAGATAATAACTTCTTTATTAAGTTATACTATATATAGTAACTCCTTTTCATTTTCATTAATTAAAAAATTTTATTTTATTTATATTGAAATTAGATGGGTTCAACTATGAAGCCAGCAATATTCAATGAGAGAGTAGCCACAGCTCTAAAGCATTGGCACAACAACGCAAAGAAGCACATAAGGCAGAACCGTGGATCGGGCTTTCAAAGCCCAATGACAAGCAGGCCCATAACTCCGGCCCATTCCATGTCCCCGGCGCACATCCTTCGTCATTGCCGCAGCGAAATTGACTTATCTTCGACAAGATACGACTTTGAGCTGTATCCTCCGTATGAGTCTTATTCACCCTCGCCTTCCAAATCTAGGCACCCCAAGGTGGAGGTTAATAGTGCTTCTTCGGGCTCAGTTATTGTTCATGACATGGAAATGGGTTATCTGGCCCGTGATGAACAACAAGAGATTGTTGAACTCAATTGTGTTTCTGTGGGCTTGGGCCGGCCTCAGCTTGTGGTTGATGTCCAACATAGTGACGAGTTTTCGTTTTCGAAAATGGCGACAAATCAATTAGAATGAATGTGAGATGATGAATATTGTATGGCTTGTTACAACTTACAAGTCACTTGTATAGATTTTTTCTAGGCATTGGATAAATTTGGACGCGACATTATGCTTAGGGGCATTTATTGTTCGGTGAAGATGGTTCTTTACTAATTATTTTGATTGGTCAAAATAATTAAGTGATATTTATATGATAGTATATATGTATGTAATTTTTTTATCACGATACATGTAAAAAAAATTATTTCACTTTTTATTACTTTTATATTTACTCTAATTTGTTCTTATAAATGATTTATAAGATAATCATGCACTATTTCTAAAATCTAGTGACGGCTTATATTTTTTAATTGAATTTGTTCTCAATACTTGTCTAAGTCCATTTTCTTCTAACTTAAAATTAAAAGGTTGTTTATTTACAATCGTGAAAATTTATAAATGTGTTTAACATTTAGAGATACTATTTACACGCACTTTTTTACACATTCTTTAAAACAAATGGTTGAGTCATTTTTATTTTATCAAAATTTTATTCGAAGATGTATTTTCGTATAACATAAAGATGAGTTCGGAGATGTATCTCCATACAAATAATGAATTCAAAATTCTGAGTTTTACGGAGATGCATCTCCAAACACGTTTTATTTATAAACTCGCGTCACACCATTTTCTCTTTTTCCTTCATTTTTTTTAAAAGTCACTCAAAAAACTCCATTTGAGCTCTTTTGTTGTAAACCATTTTCAAATCCTATTTGAGCAAGTTCACTCACTCGATTCTACTTCATTTGCTACAAAGTTACTCACTTCATTCAAGTTCCTCATTCACAACTCAAATTTGGTAAATTTCTCATTTCATTTTTTTTTTTTTTTTGTATTTTGAATGATGTTTTAGGTAACATAGGTTGTTTAAGTTGTATTAGATAGTAGTACAATTGAATTAGGTAGTTGATATAGACATGCATTGTCATTTGGTTGGAGGTTAGGGGAGCAATGAGGTTTCTTCCATTGCTGAAAATTGTGAGTTCATTCGAAGATGAATCTCCGGAATTTTTCTGTACTATTTTTGGAGATGTATCTCCGAAGTTGTGTTTGGCTGCATTTTGGTTGAATTTCTTATGTAACTTTATGGTTTTATTACAATTGTAATTGCTGAAAACAACCAAGATAGAAATAGGCTCGATCGTGTGTCCCAACACGTGTCTATACGATGTGAGAGGGCCAGGGGCCAAGCCACAAGTCGATGATACCTCATTTGATGGTTCACACGATCAAAGTTCACAACCATCTAGCTCTACTTCCTGTAGTCGCCTATCTTAGGCATATACTTCCAGAGGCCACGTGTCCCTAGGTCATGAAGCCCTTAAAGCCCAGGAGGAACCCGATGTTAATTGTAACACCCTAAATTTCCCCCGTAATATTCTATAAAATAAAACATCAGAGTAATCATTTCAAACACGCGCAATTTAGAATGTTACGGCCAACATACAAAACCTGCTCGTCAAACTGACTAAGTAACACTTATAATTTTGCAAAATCACAAAACTCGAACATTATTTTTATTGCAGCGGAAACATAAAGTCATTTAAATTTGAAACATGTAATTCAACAGGCAACAATTAAACATATTAAAGGAGATGTCCATAATCTCAAGAAAATTAAAATTCATAAAAGCGTTCCCACGACTCCCCAGTGTTACAATCAGAGCAGACGCCAACGACAGAGAAAAGGTAAGGAAACTCCATCTTCAACTCACACTTGAGTCCTACTGTAGAGTATATGCACAATACCCATGTAGAGGTAATATTCAAACAGAAGGGATGAGATATCATGATAATATAAAGGAAATCATGTTAAACAACATGCATTAAGTTAGCACAATAATAATTCAACTAATATCTCACATCAATCATCCAACGATATCATCACCAATTATTCACCAAACAAACAGTAATCACACAATACAAAACAATTAATCACTCATCACCACATATTTAATAACTTAGCAACATAGATGACATATAATTCAATGAGACTCACACCTGACTCACTGCATATGCATGTGGTATCAAATTTCATGAACACCCAGGTTCACGGTTCTAGTCCCCACCTTCTAGGACCAGAACCACTCATCGATCCATCACCTCCGAATCAGCTACCGGCCCCAATCCACACAATAGGATTTTAGGCTCACCAACAACGGACTATCTGTCTACAAATGTATGCAATGCAACTATTTATGTATACAACAACAACAATATCATCGTGTGCAATAACCCACCACCGTGGTTATTGTACATCGCCCAAATTGGCCAGCAAGCATAAAAATATATTTCATACAGTATAGACATACATGTATATAATATACAATCACAATAACATCATAAAATATTCTCAATTTATACTAATAACAACACTACAACCTCTTTATAACAACTTTCGAGTTTCACCACTTACAACGGGATTTCCTTACATGCACAACAAGTAATAGTCATAATATTCAACATATTAAATATAAAAACAACTCATCTAATTATACCATGTTAAAGTTCGACTCATTAGCTTTCCAACGCTTCGAACGGTTCGTCATTTGGATTAACGGTTAAAAATTTATGACCGAAATTGTTTCTGCTGTTTTTCTGCCTATGAGTCGACTCAGAGGTCGACGCACAAAGTACTTAGGTATACTCTAAACCTATGAGTTGACGCATACTATTCCGAACCCCAAAAAGCTTTTTTTTTAAAAGCACTTTCACCCCAGAATTTCACACCAAAGCCTATACCACTAACCCCTATCACCATAGACCCGATTTTATACCAAAATAACGTCCTAAACCTCTATTATGCATTGTTTTACTCATGGATTAACAACAATTCATCATAATTTCATTCTTCCGACTCAAAACTCCAAAACTCAACAATGGAGGAATTTTCAATAATTTGCAAAATAGAATTTCTACACACATATATGTACAGAACTCATCACATATCAGTTAGAAAACATCATTTATCACACAAATGAATAAAAATTTCATTATTAATCAAGTATTCATAGTAATCACCATATAGAAAAACATTTCACGCATAAGACAAAACCTAACTTCTATCCATCGTTCAACATGTTAACCCTTATATAGAACCAGAACCCCACCCTTACCTCGAAATTAAGCTTTCCAAACTTTTGCTGATGGTGGTTCCTCTTCTTCTCCTCTAGACCTAGTGTTCCTCACCTTCAGTTCCAAACACGTACAATAAAAAAATTGATTTCAATCTTTTCCAATTCCTTCATAAACTCCCTCACTATGGTTTTCATCTTCTACCCTCACTCACACTATGTAATTACAATTCTGCCATTCAATTCTCTACACATTTAATATCTCATTTTCTTTTATTTTATTCTATTATTATTATTATTATTATTATTATTATTATTATTATTGATCCCCTCTAATTAAAATAATAATATTAATAATTTTCAACAATATTTAATTAAGTTAAAATTCACCTAATATTACTTAATTAACTAATTATAAACAATACATTCTATTTGATTTTACTTCTCACACCACCAATCGCTACTCTTAAGGTTACTACCCCACACCAAGGGCATCCCCAAACACAACAAAACGCACAATTCACAATTACACACCCAATTTCAAAAAATTAAATTATTAAAAAAAATAATTTAAATAAACGGGCGTTACAACTCTCCCCCACTTAGAACATTTTCGTCCTCGAAAATTACCCTGACGCAAACAACTCATGATAGTACTCTCGCATCCTGCTCTCCAATTCCTAAGTCATATTTCCTCATGCAGCGCATCCCTACACGACCTTCACGAGAGCAAGATCCTTGCCTCACAACTGTTTCACTTTGCGACCATCAATCCTCATAGGTACAACCTCCAAAGTAAGGTTATCCCTTACTTGCACATCGTCCATCGAAATCACATGCGACGAAACTGGAATGTACTTTTGTAACTTCGAAACATGAAATACATCATGAAGATTGGATAGACTTGGTGGAAACACCACTCTATAAGCAACAACTCTTATCCTTTTGGATATTTGATATGGACCGATAAAACGAGGAGTGAGCTTATTCAACTTTAAGGCACGTCCAACGTCGGTCACTGGAGTGACTCTTAAAAATATATGGTCCACTTCCTAGAATTCAAGATCCTTTCTCCTCTTTTCATGATAGCTTTTCTCTCTATTATGAGAAGCTTTCATCTGCTCTCGAATTAGTTTCACTTTCTCCATAGTTTGTTGGACTAATTCAGATCCAAGCACCACACTCTCACCAGATTCATGCAAACACAAAGGTGTCATGCACCTCCGTGTCGCACCTCAAAAAATCATTTGAACAATACGACCCTCGCGCAAAAGGCGCGGAAATACGGTTCGACAGAGTCACCATTGTCGCTGCTCGAAAAATGCAACGATGGAGAGGCAAAAACGGAAAGACAGAAGAGTCGCCATCGAACTTTATTTATCCCATGAAGGGAAAGGAAAACATCGAGAAAACCTCAAGAAAGAAACGTATAAGATGGTCTCGCAACCAAGAGAAAGGGTTCGGAAGCCGGTTATGCGAAGGGAAGGTATTAACACCTCTCGCATCCATCGTACTCGAGTGTATAAAGGTATTTGCTAAAAGGTATTGCTTTCTAAGAGTGTTCCAAGGGATAAAAAAAGGGTTAGAAATAGGGAAGAGAGAGATAAAGGGGAAGAAGAGACTCGGTAGGACATCGCGGTCCTAGGCCTACGCATTCTCAACAGATATGAGAAAGTTAGAGTCAACATAGTTCGGGAAACTACGGGTGAAGGGGGAAGGTTGCTCGCCAAGACATTGTCGTCTTGTACCTATGTATCCTCATCTGGTATGAGAAATCAGAGCAGACGTAGTTCATGATACTATTAACTGGTGTTTTTGTGGATGATGCTATCGTGTGTATTCTAGCAGATGAGGATGCTCGCTCGTTGGAGACTTAGGCATTACCTGTTTGCGATAGAACGAA